GCTAATGCAACCTTTTAATTGACTTATGACATCTTAAGACAGTCTCAAATATAAGAATCGACTATGAATATCGGCCAGAGAATCATATTAACATCTTAAGACATTACTTAAGATGATCTTGAATAAGAACAGATTAGGAATACTGGCTATAGAATTTTTGAAATAATATTATACAATATATTATATGATAAATATATACGCAAAAGTATTAAATATGTCAAAATAGTAAACAATTAGGAGAATTATTAAGTAGACATTCTATTATAGCATTATCAAAATTTTGTAGTAATGTGGCAACAAATAATGGTGATGTATACTGATTTTATCATAGAATAAAAAAATAAAAACAATGTTAAATCACATACAATTATTAATTTGAGGAATAAATGGATGAAAGAGGTATTCATATTCTAAAAATATTATATGAAAATTTTTAAGAATATCTTTTTAAGAAAAAATATACTATCAATTGCAAAATTGCAGTATAATAAAATTTTGCTTTCATCATATATAATTTTGTAAAAAAATACGGATATTTATACCACTTTCATCCATTTGGATTAAATTATTATATTTAGGATTATCTTGAAAACTTTTCAATTAATCACCACTTTATATTCCACCCAATAGGAGGCATTTCAGGCAAAGACACGTTCACACTCGGTAAGAAGTGCATGAAATAATTTTTAAGATCTGCAAGGTATTTTATAAACGATTCAAAGGTAAAAGACATTAAGTTGCTTATATTGTTAAAGATGTGATAAGTCGTCTCAATGACACCATATTGGACATTGCGCAGAGAGTCCGCAAAAGTGAAATAATGCCTCTGCGCGATGTAAGCCCCTGAAACAAAAAAAATACGAAAGCCAGGATAGGTTTATGCGTCTTTCAGGTCCCACGAAAGACATTGGTCTGACTGTGTTTGGATCGGTTTAGATTTCATGTCGATTAATAAAAATGGAATTCAGTGATGTCTCTGATTCAGTGATGTCTCTGATTTTCTTTTATATTCCTTCAACAAAATGAAGAAACTCACCAAACAAAAGAAGTAACGGTAAAAGTGTGATCCATAGAATCCTTGGGCTTTTCTCTTGTAACCACTTCCTAATGCCAGTAAATCGACTCAACAGCCAAGCATCGAGTACAAGCATTCTGACAAAGAAAAAGTACATATTGTGCGTATAACGATCCAAAGTTTGCCACAACGAGCTCCATTTGGATTCTAGAAACAGCAAAGTAAGAAACTTAGTTAACAGACATATTTAATACGCTACATAACATAAAAGATAATTATTGTATTACATTCAATTATATATTTTTATATAATTTTATTAAATATTATTTTTTACTGTATTTATAATTTTTTTATAAAAGATAATGTTTTTTGAATATCATTAATACCATTGGATGAGCGATAAGCTTGTGAAACATAATACTGTCTTTTCCCATTCGTTTTAAACTTGAAGAATTCGACAGTTTTCCTGAAGCAGGTGACAATAAAAGTTATAAAATATGTGAACCATTGCACGACCCTCCAACTTTGATTAGTTTTGACCGATGATTTTACGTAAGTATCATCCAAATCGGTATCAGAATCAGCATGAGATGATGCATCATACTTTCCAATTGGAGTATTCGCCCACGATAAGTAGCTGTTGAAATAAGATTGCATTAATTTAATTTTATTTCAATAAAAGTTTTATTTTAATAAATGAGAAAAAATAAAAAATACCTTGACCGAAAATTTGAGGAACATCTTGGATCCGAATAAATTATTTCTTTGTGACTTGTGTATTGTTTTACGTGTGTCTTCTTGTACAAAGTCGTTTTTGCAGTAGAATTCGACATACCCGCACGTGACATGTCGCAATTATCCCCGAACTGCAAAATTTACGTATAGTTTTAAAACGCAATATCATGATACATCAAGAAAAATAAGAGAACAATAGTTCAAGATAACAAATACATACCGAATGAATTAGAGAGGTGGTCTCTTTCAAATCAACCGTGTCCATATCGCTAATTCCGCTTTCTGTCGTTCCTCGCGAAGCTTGACTTAAATTTCGATGACTTGTTTGAGATATGGTACTTCCGTTGTTGTTTACATGTATAGGCCGTCTCGACATATTGGGCATAGCTAATATACCTGGGGCGATCTCGTAACGACACTGAGACGTTGGCGAATACGTATAATCTGTCTTTGGAAAAACGCTAAAACATTCACGAATAATTTGATTTTTCGCACAAATAGTACACATGCAAATTGTTCATTTAATTCCAATACTATTTATTAGCACCAGTAACTTGACCTACACCCTATGACTAATGGTAATTAAGACATGCTATTATTTATAAATGTTTGTTTCTCCAACGGAAGGAATATATCTTCAAAATAAATAACATTGAATCAAACAAACGTAAGTCACAGGAAGAAGAATTCGTTATTGGCACAATGATCGTATTCAGCGAACTCAACTGTTACGGAGTGGATCCATGAGCGCTTGCTGTTATTGATGTATTCTTCTAGATCGTCTAATAGCAGTGAGCGCTCACGGATCCGCCCCATAAGTTGTGTGCTGAACGTGATTAATCATTTAATTCAAAAGTTGTCGTTAAAAACAGGAAACGTACAGTATATACAGAATAAAACTTAAAATAGAAGAGCGCTAGTGTGACATGATAGACAGCGCACTGATCTATCATGCCAGAGATCTCGGGTTCGATTCCAATAGGAACCAAAAATTTATGCTCTCGTGTTTCCTCTCGCAAAAGGCCGGCAATCTCCTGAGATCATCTTTGCCTACAGAAACACCTCTCGAAAAATTCGCTGTTCGGAACCGGCATTAAAACCGTACGTCTCATATGCTTGTGGCAATTGAATAAGCAGTGTGTGCATCACAAGCATATGAAAGAGATGTAACATAGGTCAGAGGTCTTAACATAAGAAGAAGTGTTTCTTCTTTACATAATAAAAATGATGTGGATCTCAAATTTCCGCAAAAAGATGTGGATTTCAATTTTGATGTCACGAGTGATTTTTGGTTTTCGCAATGGATTTGTATTAACAAAAACTATCCCGTGATTTCAAAATTTGAAATCCATATCTATTTGTGGAATTTGAGATCCATATCATTTTTGTGGAAATTTTATGTATTATATAAAGAAGAAACACTTCTTTTTCTTTTTCTTCTTCTTCTTCTTTTTCTTTTTACGTTAGGCCTCATGATACATAAAATTTCCGCAAAAATGATTAGGATTTCAAATCTCCACAAAAGTTTTGCCTGACGGAACCTAATTACGGATCGGATGCGTTTGCTCTTAAAATCGTAGTGAAAAAAAATGGCATAATTCAATCTGGAATTAAGTTCCATCAGGCAAAAACTCTTTTTGCAGAAATTTTTAGATCCACATAATTTGGAAATTTTATGTATTATGTAAAGAAGAAACACTTCTCTGATAATTAAAATTGTACTTATAAAATTGCAAACTTAAAATATTCGTACTTCCACCATTCACCAGCCTGCTTGTAAATCTCATAGGCGGATCCTGGCCTACTTGGAGGATCTTCCCTTTCTCCTTCTTCTGAAGAGTAGTCACTGGTAAATACTCTGCGTGGTGTAACACTTCTGTGTCTTCGTTCTGCTTTCTTATCAGATGCATCCTCCTTACTTTCACTTTGACCATTGACAAATATTTGCCTTTTGGCTCTTTGACGTTCCGACCGGCGTTCTGCCTTTTTTATGGTGACGACAGAACCTTCGGACTTTGTGCTTTGATTATCCGTTAGACTTTCTGTGACAGATCCCTCCTTATTCTCTTCTATGGTTTCCATGTTCTTTTCATGCGTCTTTACGCTGCCAGTTCTATAGTCATATAAATACAAATGATGAAAGTATAACTTGTCTATAATCATTAACAGCAAATACTTTTATGTTTAGGTTGATTACTTACAATGATCTAGAGCCAGATCTTCTACTACTGGTTACTTCTCCAGGCGTGTGAGATCTCTCCCGGCTCCAATTTCTAAGATCATAATGACGCTCTGTCACCTCTGGGTCTTGCTGCGAACGATTTGGAACCATAGGTGTATGGGAACGTGATCTGCTTCTGCTGCGAAGCTCATAGTGATGCTGCTCGTTCTCCATTCTTCTATGGAACAAACAAGAACACTGGGTCGTAATGAAAATCGTTTCTCTTAATAACTAATACTACGACCTTCCGACAAACAGTACGGACGATCAAAGGTTATCGCTCGCTTTTAGGAAAGAATCACAGGGGCCGTTGGGGGGAACATATGCCCGAACATATATCGCCTAAAAATAGCACCTCTCCCCGAAGGACACGACCGCGATCCTTTTTACTAAATCCCGGTTTCTACCCTCTCCTCGCCGCGCACTCCTCGTCGAGAGCTTCGCGGATGAACACGCGGTGGTGCCGTCGACTTCGCGGGCCACGAGAATTGACGAGAATCACGTCGCTCGAGACCGCTCAGTCACGTTGCGAGTTGCAATCCGCGCGGCAACTCGACTCTCTCGGAGGAAGGAACCGACGGAGCGTCCTACAAATCTCCCATCAACGTCGAGGACTGGCCCGCTCCGGCGGGTTGGCCCACCACGGTGAATTGTACGTGACACCGCTATTTATAGAAAACTCACCGTTGTCGCGCGCGCGGCGACGCTAACGGGAGTCGGGACGCGCAACGATGACGACGAGATGTACCTCGCGTTGCGCAACACGCGCGACGCGCGAAGACCGCGGACGCGTTTCACATAAGAAAAAGAAGGAAAGAAAGAAAAAAAAATTTAACGTACCCCGCTAACCCCACTAGCCCCACTGTACGCGTGGGAGTACGCAAATCGTTCTGTTAACGCGTAGAAAACGCCAAGTGCGTGCGCATTTTGCCTGATGATTCATACTTACTTAATTCTGTTTACTGACAGGAGAGAGGGAGCACGACATCGTCATTTTCGTCCGACGTTCTTTTCTTTCCTCGATTTTACCGCTAATCTACGCCGACTGATCGCGGAGCGGAAGACGCGCGTCGCTTTCTGCTTCCTAGCCTAAATTTAAATCGTAGTTACGTAGATCCACGTAGATCTTTATTGATCCGTAAACATGACTAAACTGGACTAAGCGAGAATCGCGCGTAATGTGTAGAAACTACAGAATGCATGTAAATGTATACCGGTGTTGAAACACTTGTAAAAAAAAAAGGAAAAACAATGATAAAAAAAATGCAAAGCGGCGATACGGATAGACAGGAAATAATGAAAGAACAGGAAGACCTTCATATTTAAAAAAATTCAGGAATTTCCATTCGATTGTGCCTACAACGCAATTCCTGGTAATCCTGATCACGAATGAATTGAACGTTTATATTGAATGGAACCATATTTTTTTCCTCTACAACGCGAGTAGAACAATGATCTAAAAAAAGAGAGGAATAAATTGATCGTCTCTTTATTTCAGTAAATGTTCTTCGGCGAAGGAAGGAATCCGCTTTGTAAGAATCGCGTAGGATAAAATACAGGGAGACGTATGATTTCTGTATTATTGTAGTCTTGATAATTAACTACGCCTTGAAGGTGCAATTTGACTTTTGAAAGCCGCATAAGTATTGCACTACGCTATGCAGAGAGCCGTCCGTTTCGTACACAGGTGTCATTCGGTGCCATCGTGTTAATAAAATAAATAGGTTATGAGTGTAACTGTAATACCAGTTAACATTGTATATACAATAACACCTAATATATATAAATTTAAATGTGAGTATAATAGGGTATGTCATGTAAAAATGTATAATATATAATTTTCTAAGCTGGGTAGTTGCAAAAAGAGACAGGAAGAAAGGAAGATTTCTTAACCTCTAAAGAATCTCTTTCTCTTTTGGATATTTTATGATAAAATTACAAAATAAATTGTACACCTGGACTATCGAGACGTTTTGTTTTGCGAAGTAGATTACTTCTTTATTAACAGGCCATGTCAAATCATTGACATTGTTCATGATTGACAGATTATGTCGGACTTGGAGTTGGGATTGAAGACAGGACGAAGGAGTTATGAGGAAATATTAAAGCAGCGGCAGGATGAAGGATATAAAACCGCAACGACAAACGAACAGGTAGCTTTCTTCACCAAAGTGAAGCAAACTCATTACCTACGTTTATGTTATTTTATTTTTATTCATTACTCGTTGAATACTGCTATTCTGTGCCATAGTTTTAAAATTTATAAAATACTTGTAAGCTGTAATTGTACAATTTATGCACAAACAGCTGCAGAGGCTCATATAGGTATTTTTATTTGACTTATTCTTGGGGAATCACAAATTACTATTGTGTTTTATTTTAATTTAAAATTTGTACAACCTCTTTCCACTGTATATCTTTTTAGGCTCGTGTCGAGGAGATTGTGCTCAAGTTTTACCGATCATGCAGAGAAGGGGATCCTGTTTTACTTAGGCCCAAACACATTCAGTTCTTGAAGAAAGCAATCACTAATTTAAATGACACTTACGAGGTATCCACTACTTTTAATATCAAACAGCATATGTGTAATATTGGCTGCTTTGCAACTATTGTAAAATTCTTTAACGCAGCCATTATTTTGGAGATAATTGAGGAAAAATATCGTTCTGCTTGTAACAAGAAACTTAGTATTTGTACTAAGTATTTTACTGAGTATTTGTACTGAGTATTATTTAACTGAATATTTGTAACAATACCCTATAGTGTTTGGACTCCAGTAGACCATGGCTATGCTTCTGGATATTGCATTCACTTGCGATATTAGGAGAACGATTGGAAAGTGAGGAGTGTTCCCAGATAGCTGGCTTTCTGGCCAAATGTCAATCATCGACAGGTGGTTTCGGCGGAGGCCCAGGACAATATCCACATTTAGCATCTACATATGCAGCAGTGAACGCATTATGCACTATTGGTACACAAGAAGCATACGATGTGATAGATAGGTAAATAATTCAACATAATTTTTTTCATAATAATGCTATTTTGTTTTAAAAACATTTTGCATATTTTTAAAATTTAGATAGACTTTTTTGCTTAAAAATTAAAATTATAATTTCAGAAAGAACTTGAAACGGTTCCTAGCGTCCTTGCGCGGAGAGGATGGTTCTTTCTGTATGCATGAAAACGGCGAGGTAGACATACGTGGGGCATATTGTGCTCTTGCTGCCGCCAAGTTGACAAACGTGTACACGCCGGATATGTTCAAGGGTACCGCCGAATGGATAGCCAAATGTCAAACATGGGAGGGTGGTTTCGGCGGTTGTCCGGGAATGGAGGCTCACGGTGGATATGCATATTGCGCTTTGGCAGCTCTCGTAATGCTCGGAAAAACGGAGCTTTGTCATTTACCGAAGTTGTTGGTAAGTTCCTCTTTATGATTACAGTAAGATCTTCACGTTCACATCCTTACCATTCCACAGAGGTGGATTGTAAATAAGCAGATGCGTTTGGAAGGCGGTTTCCAAGGACGTACGAACAAATTGGTAGACGGGTGCTATTCTTTCTGGCAAGGTGGGACGTTCCCATTGATCGCCGCTATTTTGTCAACGCAGGTAAAGGGGTTTAACAATTCCGACCATTGGCTGTTCAACCAAGAGGCCTTACAAGAGTATATATTAACTTGCTGTCAGAATCCGCATGGCGGTCTTCATCTGTAATTACTATAAATGTAATTTCACTGACGAGTAATTTTAATCGCGTTAATCACGTGATAACTTTTTTCTCTTCTTTTCTTAGAAATCGTGACATATACCACACATGTTATGTTCTTAGTGGATTATCGATTGCGCAAAACTCACCAATAAAATCGATTATCGGAAGAAGGCTCACGAATAAGGTAGAAGTGATCCATCCCGTTTACAACGTGGAATACTCCGCCGCGAAAAAGGCGCAGGAGTATTTTCCTACTTTACCGATACCAGCCGATTGATTCGTCTTAGTTATTTAAAATATATCTAATCATGTTTGTATGTTTTTCCTAAAAAGAGAAGATAAGAAAAAATATCTTAAAAAAAGATGAAGTTTATCTCAAACTGACCAATGATGCGCGCGTAAAAAGTTGTTTGTATATGAGAATCCATACTTGTGATATATAAAAAAAAGAGAACTTTATAAAAACCACGTTAATCGATCTTGATGCACATTATTGGATATTGAAAATTAAAAGGTCGCATTTTCCCTATCTTAGTTTTATCTTATGTTAATAAAGTTTATGAAGAAAATAATAATAATTTATTTACATCCTTATGATATGTTATCGTTGTTTGAAATTTTTTTAATTAACAATCATATGACCTCCGATAGTGTATAAGTGTAATAATAATGCAAACAGATCCAGAGGTAAAAGTCTATTGCAACATGTGATTTTACACATATAGATATATGTACATATATAAGGGTACGTAAATAATAGAATATAATTCCACATTGCTATATATAGTATATATAATTCAATATCTACTCAAGGAAATACTAGATGCAGAAAAATACATTTTTTTACATTAATATAAAAATTAACTTTTTAATGTTTGATTCAGAACTCGCTCGACTGAATTTTTTTTTCGATGATCAAATACCGTACACACTTTTATCTTACATGTAACATAACATTGCAACGGCTATTTATCATTCGGCATTTTGCACGATTGTAAATACGGCAAGATATCTTGTACATTGAGAACAAAATAAAGCCTAATCTGTGCTTTGTTTCTTGTTTTTCGTTTTTTATCTTTTTCCTTTCTGCCTCCTATATCTTCATTTTCCGGGTCGAAATAGATAAAGTTATTTAAATTTCGAAAGAAACAAGAAACATCTTATCATTATTTGTTGATCAAAACAGTTCGCAAAGAAAAAGGCAAGATGTAAAAAGCAAAAAACAGGAAACAAAAAGCACATTATAAATTAGGCTAAAATTAGAAGAGAATATTCCTAGATAACATGCGTAAGATATTCAAGATATTTTTAGATATTTTTTAAACATAAGATATCTAAAAGAGTTTTTTAGATATCTTACGCAACATAAATGTTATCTGGGTTCTAAATAGAGAATGTAATCTATAATGATATATGAAGGAAGTTTGTGATATTTCAATCTCTGCACCGTCCACTGCATCCCTTGCAGATTATTGTTGATTAACGCACGTATATATGCTATCACTCACATTACTGTTATAATACATGGCTTAAACTTTTTTTATTTATCAATAAATTATAAAATAATATCTATAAGACAAAAATCATGTCTTTCATGTTTATGAGCCTCGATCATTTTTTATACAATCTTATGATTATACAAATTTGAACGAAAAGTGAGATAAAGAATAATTTTCATTTACAATCAAGATATTAGTGATTAATATAAATGCGATTAATAATACGTACATGTATGATAAATGCTTAAAAATTGCAGTCTTCCGTTAGTTATTTTGATATAGCCAATTATTGCATGTAGTTATACGCATGGTTCAACGTAATTTCCTGGGAACAATCCAGTTATACCGTCCATTACCCCCTCCCACCATCCATCATCATTTTTCTTGAGTACGTAGATCACAGAACTCTCTTGAAAGCTTAATTCGTCTTCTTTATCCGCGTAATAATCATAAATAGCCACCACTGCAATTGCAATTTTTACATTATTACATATTGTATTACTAATATAATATATCTTATTACATTATCCATTTTACATATCAATTCATTTATTAAATGTTTAACAATACGACAGACAAAACTAATTCTGAGATTCTACCTTTTTCAATATAATTCTTTGGCACCCATCCGGGCAGGTCTTCCTCATCCGGCACTATTGGCATTATAGCACCAGATGGGGTTGGTCTGCCAAATTGTGGATGTTCCTCCTGCTCTGGTGGTGGTGGCGGTGGTAAAGGTGGACTATTTGCACCGCTACCACGGCTAATTTGATGCGATAATCTGTGTGGCAAGGTGTGATGGCCGGTATATTCAGACATATCGCCTAGCCCAACCAAAGGCGAAGGTGGAGCTGAGATAGCAAAAAAAGTATCAGTATCTCACAACAAATCATGAGATCAAACATTAAAATGAATATATCTTTATTATTTATAGTATGAATACAGCTTCATTATCAATATCGTTATTAATTATAATATTGTTACTTACGAGGCATACTGTTATGCTGCTCCTGCACATAACCCGCGGTAACGCTGGGCGGTGCTGGAGGTGGCGTTTGAGGATGATTCTGCAAGGGATGAACCGTTCCCACTTGCGGCATAGTGTGCTGATTGATGGTATTGGCATGCGCGTTATGATTGGTATTATGACTTGTGTGGGACGTGTTATGAGCATGCAATGGTAGAGTGCTATATCCTGGGCGATCTCGCCTGGGATGACCAAGCGGATAGTTGGGCGCGTAATGGCTAGGAACTTGAGGTGGAGCTACTGCTGGCGGAGTCCTATATTCGCGCGATCCTTTACTCAATGTTCCTATACACAAAGAATGTTATGGATTATTATTCGATGTATTAACAAGATTAACACATGTAACATCAAATGTGACAGATACAATAGTATAACATTTAGAAGCCAAAAGAAAGAAAAGACACACATGCAAGCAAGAAGCAGTAAATACCTTTGCGTTAGCGAAATGATTTTAATTTTTTTATAACCGCAACTGAAAAAGTACACCTTTACAAGTTTGTGTAGCACTCGTACAATTCTTAGCACTTATGTAGGGTGTCCCAGAGCATTCCTGGGACACCCTGTGCATACAGAATGTTTGATACAACTACAGATTGTTCTCTGTAAATGATGTAGAAGGAACAGGAAAAATGTTTCTGTTTGCAGCAACAACTGTCAAACATTCTGTATGTATATTATATATATTTGTATATATATACATATATAACTCTTACCAGTTCTCACTGTTTGAGGTGGTGTGGGTGGTTTGGTGGTAGGAGCAGGTCCTACCATCGCAGCACCTAATCCTGAACCTGTAGAAGTAGCTCCTAAACTCTGAACGCTGCCTTGACTACCTCCTCTCTGTTTGCTTCGCGGTGTACCGCAGCTACGTACACCATGTCCAATTTCATCTAAAATTGTATAATCAATGCTCTTCCTGACATACTTAATGGGTTTCTCAGGATTGGCAGGAGCGATGATTTTGTACTGGCGAGTTGTCATCTTGTTGGCTGTCAAGACGCCTATTTCCCTTCTGGCTACCTTTTCCTTGTGAATCATAACTGTCTGTGCGATGTGATTCATTTGACTTTCCATCTCAGCGAGCTGGGACGTCTGTAGGTCCAGTAGTTGAAGAAAATTATACGCCAGCGTGTTTATTTGATATGCAACGCTGGCTAAGGACTGTGTGGTATAATTCTTCGTTTCCTCCAATGCAATTCTCTTGTTTTCTGCTTGGAAATAATTGGCTTCGCAATATTCTGCCACTCTCTCCAGATTCGTGTGGCTGTCAGCCAGATTGTTCCTACCCTCAGGAATCTCATGTCGCAGGAGTGCCGCTAATTCTGCCATGACTTCGGAATCACTACCCACTCCTGACGACACGCAATAAGATCCTGATCCTTCTTAAAGGCAAGAGAGAAAAAAAAATACAAATATTACACGTGAAAGAACACCATAAGTAAAAATTAAATTAGTCTCGTAAAGCACAATATGTTATAAGAATAAAATATAAAGTAAAGCGATCATGAAGCCAAAAGTATATTTAATGACGGTTTTATAGCTCCGAACCAGTTGCTCTATTCCCACAAAGTAGGATCACTGCAATTGTTTTCGAGATGGAAGATATATTAATTTCCAACAATGAGAATTTGGCACCTTTCTCACGAAACAAGAGATAGTCGAGAGGATGGAAAATTAGATTATGACAGGGGCGGCGTCTGAAGGGAAATAGGAAACAAGATGGACAGACCGACACATGCACGCACGGCACATGTACACAACACCGTCTGATTGGTAAAGTGTTCCCAATTGACGCGACGACGGTGCGTAACAACGATCTAGAGATTAAAAAAAAGAAATAGAAAATCAACTAACGGTACTCAGCCATTATTTGCAACTACCAGCTACTAGCAGCCTCATTAATTCATAATTACCGAGCTCCCGAAATTCATGTAAAAAAAGAGCGTACGGAGGTATAAAACAGTATAAAATGGCCGCGACACGTGCGCGCGCGAGCGATGTACAGTGATGCATAATCGAGTCACTGCGATGCATCGCACAGTCGCGATACAATCGATATCGTCGAGTCCGCTTTTTTTTTGCAGCTACAATCTGCGCGTTTTTTCCAAATTGACGGCGATATCTAAATGTATATTTGTCGTGATTAAAAAAATTAATATTATATTCTAAATTAAAATTAAATTTTAACGCGTGAATTTCTACAAGATCGCTGCGGTGATTGGTGGATCTTGAACGAGAACCGCGATCACGTGACTGGAAGATCGCGGGGTGACCGATGAATCGATTGCGACGCTCACGAGATATCGTGCGAATTACAAACGTAACGCCACTTATATTATAAATACATCACGATTTCGGCTCGATGTCCGAACGCTGTGCATTTCAGTGTACTGTAGGTGTTTTACGTGGTTTTACAGAGGATATGGATTCTTCTGTGCTCCTGTGAGTGTTTCCGGTTCGCAGCTCGAGTCCGGTGCGACAATCGTGTTCGCCCGCTCGTGTTCTGCGTCCACGTCCGCTCTAACTTTATCGCATTGCATTCGCCGTAGGCGACCGATCGACGGACATCTGAGCCGGTTGCAGTTTCGGTAAGTACGATTCTTCCGACAACGCGGAAACGCACCTTCACGCCGAGATTCCCCTGGTCAGCGGATCGTTCTCACGGTATCTGCGTCGAAATCTGATTATCATGGAACTTAAGATTGTCCACCTACTGTTCGCAGATCAGCCAACTTGGCAACCAACAGGGCTCGAGGATTTTGAGTCTTGCTTGGCAGAATGGTCTCCAAATGGTCGAGGCAATCGATTGTTCTGAAAAGTGGCCCACAAAATAATATCCGCTTAAAATACGCCTAGAGAGATTGACTTACGGAAGTACGAGGACGTATTATTTGATTGGTTTTGATATCCACAAGAATGGACAATCTGTTGAAAGAGCTGGAGGCTCTGAAAATTAGAGGTGATTTTTTTGAGGATAATTCCTCGTGGACACCATGCGTAGACTTGATTCAGAAGAGTTTTGTACCACAAAGAACAGTTGGGGCAGAGCGTCCGTGTGAGGAGAAAGATTTTAGAGAATATAGGCTCGTTGTAGAAAGAAACTTGCATAACGTCAGGTCTATGTTGCAACATATTTCTAGCAATTCCAGAGAGAAACACTTGCAGCTGAGCAATGCCACAGGGATAGTTAGAACGTTTGGTATGAATCTGCTGCTGCTCATTGGAGAACATAGTGAAAAGAATATTTGGAACACAGCTGAGTGTGTTTCTATTTCCAAAGAATTACTTGCTAGTTTCTGTGACCTGTACGTCTGCCAAAGTATTTCTCAATTTTTGTCAGAGAATGAGAATTTGCATAACTTGTTGCTGATGTTAAGACCTAAATTATTAAAAGATAGCTGGAAAACTTATCCATCAGCTGTAGCATGTTATAGATGGTTTTTACAAGAGGCAGAAGTAAGTTCAGTTTTATTTAGATCTTATACAGTTTATTATTTATATTTATAGTTATAGTATTTCGAGTTTATAATTATTGAAAAAATCTGGAATTTTCAGATTTTTATGAAATTTTATTGAGAGTTGGAAAAATTTTTGAAATTTTATTTTTAAATTTTGTTGTTTTTTGAAAATTTGTTTCTTTAATCGTTTTTCTTTGATGCAAAGAAATGCAAAATATTGACAATTAATTAATAAGTATGACATACACATATTTATATATACATATCCATATATTCTTATTAAAAATATAAGTCTTATTAAAAAAGATAACAATAAAAAAGAAAATATTAAGCAACTCATTGTGATAAATTTTTCTTGTATTATTTCACTGTTTCAATTATAAAAAAATGTTATAGTGTCAGTCTCATAGAATTCTTGTTTTTTGCCAATTTTCAATATATATTATTTTGTATTACTTACAATCTAATTTATTTCAAAGTAGCATTAAAAGATTTTCTAGTCTTTTATCTGGAATTTTGAATAAAATATCTTGAAAAGGGAATTCTACAAAACACTAAACATTCTGTTTTACACACACACACACACACACACACACACA